CTGGCACTAGGAGCTTGGAAAGGAGAACTTCAGTCCCCACAGTAATTGCAGCCCATCTGTTGCACCCGCCTAAAATAATTAAGCAGTGCAATTTCAGGCTCAGCATCTTATTTTGAGATCAGAAATGACTGGGAAAGAGTGAAAAAATGAAGAGGTTGACTCTGGAAAGGGAGCTCAAAGGTTGCTTCCCAGAGAGCTGTGTTATCTGCCTCAGGTTCACAGGCCATCTCACTTCAAATAAAAATGCTTAGGCTGAAAGGAGGTTCCTTTGTGCAACACAATATAATCCTGGTGCCAAATTTAGATGCACAAACATGGAGCTTGGCCAACTTGTAAGGGTAATCTATGCAAACTGTGCATTTACTCTAGATCAATCCAAGTGCCCAGAACTTTAACTAAACAAAACAGGGTGCTGCTTTAGAAACTAGCTGTCCTGAGAATGTTCCTGCATACAAACCTACCTGACTGAACCAGCACTGCTGCTTCTATCCAGACACCTGAGTCGTGTACTGCATCACCCATTTCAGAGCTCCCCTTAACATAAGCACAAGGTAGAAATAGGTGTTCCAGTTACTTAAAACTTGCAGCTCTACTCCTGAAGCAGCTGTCCCTACTCTGAAAACTAGAAACACGTTTTTATTTGCTCTCCTTCCTACTCCCCAGCCTCACTCTGTAATCAGAAATCACAGAGATAGTATTGCACCCAAGGCAGAAATAATGATATGGGGCTTTTCTGCTTGCTTCCTTTTCACAGTCCCAGGTTTTTGCATAAAGAACTTGTGAGAGAAAGGTTTTCCTGCCTTCCCGAGGGCAACAGCACTCTTCCTTTCCCCAAGGAACATGTGATGTTATCAGAAGTAGGACACATTTCTCTCTGCCCTACCTTCTGATGGGCCTACAGCACAATTTCTTACAGATGGCAGGATGCTGTTAATGCACGTCATTCTTCCACATCATAAGCCAGTAAAATTAAGCATGACAGTTCTCTGGAGGATGCTCATCCAGACCTAAGAAAAAACAACAGAAAAGACAGTACAGTGACTGAAACAATAAGAATAGTGAGGGAAGCCAAGCCAAGGCCTACCAGGTCCAGGTGACCAGTCATAGATTTTGACTTCAGGCCATGCTTGGTGATTCTGCTGCTGGGCAGCCTCCAGCAGGCTGTTCCATGAAGAGAAGCCAGCTGCCTCAGAGCTGAGGGCAGCAAACCCTTTGGTCACAAGAGGAAACAGCTCTGACTCAAAAGCACCCAGGGGAAAGTGTTGGTGAGTAACACAGTGCCATTCACACGTGGTTACACTGCTGACTTTAACTGTTCTAACCACTTTTACTACCTTTTAGTTTGGCCCGTTCCTCCATCATGGCTTATCTTTGTATTTGACCATTTCCTGCTGTGAATTGTCAGTTCTTTTCAAATAAACCTGACAATTTCCAAGCTATCAGTTGTTTTAGCTGATATGCCAACTCCTTATGTGGCACCCAACATCCTTGCCTGAACCAATCACTTGCAGCAGCTGTGGCACAGTGCTGGCAGCTGCCAGGAGGCTCCCAAAGCATCCAGTCTTCTCCAGACCTAAACACACCAAAGGCAATGAAACTCCTTCAGCACAGCACCTCCCTGACCTGCACCCAGTTCTGCCTATTGGACAAGTGTAAAAACAACAATCAGTTATTTCTGACCAGTATTTAATGCTATGCTTTTACTGTAAACAAGATTTTAACACATTTCCTAAGAAAACAAGGCACATATGGATACACGATCCCAACTGTCCATTCAACCTCCTCCCTGTTACTTTGTACCCCCTGTTCTGGCTATATTTCAGAGCAGTCAAGAAGTCTTACAGTTTTATAGCTCTTATCAGTTTTGTGGGATTTAGAAACACATCACAATGAAGATGTCCAAGGAAGTGATGGAGTCCCAGACCCTGGAGGGGTTCAAGAAAGGGCAGCTTTGGCAGTGAGGGGCATGGTGGGGATGGATTTACATCTAGACTTCATTATGATAGAGTTCTTTTCCAACCTTCTATGACTCTATGCATTGGTGACCATACAGTGATCACGACTACAGAACTCAATCTTATTTCAGGGAATTGAAAGAAGTGGAATATCAGATGTTCTTAAGTTCTATGACTCACAGAACTCCTTGTTTCAGTTCTGTTCCCCCGTCTTACAGGGAAAGGCAAGCAAGAATAGATGCCTCCACAGTTAAGCCAGCACACTGCTTAAAACTAGCTCAGATGTCTGCAAGAGCTACAGTTATTGAATTCTTTTTTTCCTACACCAGCAGAGACAGCAAAACCTACTCTTCAGAACCATTTGAGCTCTGCAGAGTGAAAGGCTCCAGGTAAAGCACAGAATGCTGTTATTTTTGGAGAGTAACTGGCCAGACTCAGCCCCAGCAAACCCAAACCAGGATGTTTTCACAGTCTGAACAGAAATGCCAGCAGCAGAACAGCATGAATGATGTAAAGATGTGATTTCAGTTATCCACAGGTGCTGTCTGCAAGATCAGTAAGATCACTTCAGCCAGATTCTGAGCGACTGTAGACAAGGGTAATATATTACCTTTGGAAGACAGGGTCTGGGGTTCACATCCACCAGAGCAGAGCTGGCTTTGTACTTTGAAAAGAACAGGGTCAGTTAAAGAGGCCAAAATACATACATCAATTCACGCTGGGTAACGTTGTAACAGTGCCCCTTTAATGCTTTAGCTCACCAGAGCAAAGGTTCCTTGTTTCTGCTCAAGAATTCCCAAGCCATCTCAGTCGGTTAGGTAACAGCAGGAGCAAAGCCCAATCGCTCTCTGAAAGGTGTTTTGTACCCCACGTACCCAGAAACATTGGGCTAGCAGCTCCTCCTGCTCATAGGCCACTCCTGAGACTACAAATGGAAGAAAGAAAAACAACACCTGCAATACAGATACAAAAAGAACCTGAGCTTCCCAGAGTCGTGGCACATTCAAAAATCTTTCTACTTCCAGAAACAACTAAAAAACTTCAGGAATTCATACAGATACAACTGAGCAATGCACTTTTTTCCAGAGCATACGCCTCAAAATGCATCTAATTCCTACCCTGGTGAGAATCATCACTACTGAGGTCATGGAGACGACTAAAATCTCAAGTTTGCCAGCAGTCATTATTTTCTTGTACTACGAGGAGATGGTATTTCTGTCACACATTCATTGGAAGCCTGCAGTCATCATGTTACTGGGTCCTGACCTTTCCAAAAGGGAAAACATCACTGCTTCCATCTTCAATGTGATGCTTTGGTTTGGAGAAACCAGTTTCAGAACTTTCAGCCCTTCTGAAATCAGTTGCTTTGGAGCCAGCTCATGTCAGCACAAACTGATAGCTGTGACAAAACTACCAAACTGGGTTTTCTCCTCTGCTAACTGAGTTTGCTGTCTGTACTCAAGTTTACACAATCCAAGATTTAGGGGGTGTGAGCATAATTGGTTTCATATTCCAATTTTGAAGGATCTTTCCAGCCAAAGAGCTGTCATGCAGTCTCAAATATGAAATCTCCATCCCCACTGGATATCTCCAATCTCTGCAACACACAGCAGCAATTCCCTGAGCAATCACCTGCTTACTTTCAACCACTTCCTCTCAGAGCAGCAGAATAACGAGGAGATGGAGGAGCCTTAAAGCCAAACCTTTCTATTTCAGCCTTTTTTCTACTGCAGCCACACACACACACGTATGCACACACTTGGTAACTGTGCAGATACACTGGCACACACAAATTTTGGGGCAGAACAGCAACTCACAACAAAACTGTGAGTAGTATAGTATGCACTAGTGCTCCCCCTACAGCAACATGGTTCAGCTTCCTTCCATCTGAAGTGAGCTGAGAATTGCATCCTGTGGTCAAAAGAGTTCAAGCAACCTGATATAATCCTGGTGCACGTTACCTGACTCATGCCATGAAGATGGGGCCTTTGCAGCATCTGCCACATAAAGAAAGCACAAATCCTAAGATGTGCTTTGATGCACTGCAGCAAAAAGGAATGCAGGTAGAAGTCACCATTTTGTAAATCACACAGTAGTTCCATCAACACCTGGTTGCTTAATTATGTCTAATAGATGTAGAAGTAATGACTGCATGTCACAGACTGTCATTAGGAGGACGGGGCGACTACTCAACAGCACAGCATTTAATAAGCTGCTTTGCTTAGTGGAGACTTGCAATTTACCACAGGAGTCCCCTAATATAATCACTGTCATAGCACAAAAGTTGACTTGCAATTATTACTATTTCAGTAATTTTCTTTTCTAATTACTATCCCAGTATTAAAATAAATAAGGGAAGGTAGCAGCAGTGAATGAAGAAGGCCATCTTACTCCAGCTGTGCTCACCCAGTCCCACTGCTCTCGATAAAAAGCATCTGCAGCATATTTAAAGCACAAAGAAATGCCTTTTGAGTTAACTGATAAAAACTGCCTACTGTTAACATATGGCTTGGATCTATTAAACGTGCTGGCCACCTGTTTCCACAGGACTCCAATGTAGTTCTCAGCAAGTCGGTAGTTCTCCACCAAGAATAATCCATTTTTAACCACGTGTGACACCAGTGCCCCCCTTTCCTTACAATACCGACATGCAGATCCAGCCAGCTGCCAACTTCTGCATTCGCTGCCATGTTTCAGAAGCTTTGAGTTGACTGCCATCTAGCGACACCAGCAGGCAGCCTCATAAAGCCTTCCTACACGATGCCTGGAGTCACCTGTCCTTCCAGCACTGAAATTAAACTACCTTGTACCTTCAGTTCACACAATATTTTTTCTTCTGTTTCGATTTAGTCAAGCTTCCTGCAGCCAGTCAGTAAAAGCAAATGCATTTTCAGGTTAGCTTTTCTGTACACTGCAGGATCAAGAGCCCATGAGAGCTCACTTTCCCCTTCCTCAGAAGCCAGTCCACCCCACCAGAGCTCACAGAGACTGAAAGCGACTTCCAAATCTTATCACACACAGAAAAAAGGTTAAGAGAAGCCTGCATACTTAAATATTTCTTTTAATTACAATTACATGTGAAAACTCGTTACAAGTATTTCTAATGCTTGGAACTTTTCAGAAATATCTTGGGTGTTTGCCATCCTGCAGGAGGATTTTTCAAACCAGCTCTTTTCCAGATGCGCTCCAAATCTTTCTCAAATTTTACCTAAAACAGAGGAAAAAGAAAGAGAGAAAATGGCAACACCTGAGAAGCAACGCTCAAGTATTCAGACACTGCCCGAGTGCCCCAAGAGGATCTACATACATGCTGTGATAGCAAAACTGAGAGGATAGGGAGTGAAACTGTAAGAGAATTTCTCATCACAGAGCTTCCCACAGGCGTGCAGAAACTGAACAGTGAATCCCATTTAAAGAGGCATCTAGGCAAGGTGAAAAGTAACCAAGAATTATCTGAACTATATCATAGCAGACTGCCAAAAGGCAGCACTGAATGAGAACAGCCACAACTTGAGTGAAGGCCAACATCTTCATGCATCCTTTCTATTAAAGGAAGAAAAGGGTTCTAAATAAAAACAACAATAAAGTCAATATTGTGGTCTCTTCCTACAGCAGCTCTGTAAAAGCATGTGAGGATACAAGCAAGATGGGTAGGAAATTAAGATTAAACTGATCTTCCTGATGTAACATAGGTATGTGAATTAATCTTCCACACAAACACAAGTTCTTCCCCACTAGTCACGCATCTTTACTGAGTTACTCACACCTGGTAACTGTCACACACACCTGGTTACAAGCACAGAAATGTAAACTTCTGAGGAGGTAAAATACAGATCAAATCAGCCAACACTACTGGGCCAGTAAATCCTGAATTGGCTTAGACTGAATTTCTCCGAGCTGCTGCCATTTTTCCCTACGTTAATCCCACCTAAAATCCAACACCTGAACAAAGGGCAGTTGAAAAAGGGTGTGCACCTACATCAAGATGCTCCCTTCAAGCTGAGCTCACCTGCCGTTTCTTCTTGCGCCCTTCCTTTATCCTCCTTCTCACAAACTTCCTTCTCTTCAGCAGCTTTTTGTATTTGTGTCGATTCATTTTCCGTCTGCGGATCTCCAACACGTTCTTACACTGCAGTGTGTTGGTTGGTGTTCCTTCCCCTTCTTCCACATCAGCTCCTTCATCAGATGGAGGACAGACATACCTCTGGAGAGGCCCAGAGCCCACTTCTTCCTGAGCTCTATTGACCTCTGCTTTAGGAAGGGAGTATGTGACTGTCAGCCAGCTTTCTAAGGGGCTGATGGAAAGCTTTCTGGGGACCAACATCTCTTCCAGTTCAGGCTCCAGCACGTGCCACCGCTGAGGCTGGGCTCCATTCTTATTAGGTGGCTGCGTGCAATAGTTCACAGATGTAGAATGACAGCAAAGAAAGGAAGACACCGACCTTGGCAGAAAGTGCCCTTTGAGAAGAAAAGAATTGCACTTAGGAGGCAGAATTCCCTAGAAACATCTTCACAACAGCTCAAGCAGCGCTAAAAAAACTCAGTCACAACAACAAAGGAAACCGCATACAAGCAATTAAATTCCCATCATAAAAGCAGAGAAGGCTTATTTTTTATTTTAACCCCAACCATTTTACAACAATCCCATCTGCTAAAATTACATTTGATGGCATTTCACTGTGTGAGCTGTACAGCTAATCCGGGATAGTTGTGAACTGTTCTCTGCTGCTAAGAAACCCCCTCTGCAGCTCCATAGTACTGACAGCACAGCCACGGATACATAGCACAACCAACAGCTCCCCCACCCACACTGCTGGCTGGAGAAGAAATTCCTGGGAGCCCAATTACCCCAAAAGACAAACAGAAACCCACTCACCTGCAACTCGTGAAGCCTTCAGCAGCCGGGAAGTCAGCTGTGATAGTAACATTTTTTTCCCCACTTCATTCAGTCCCCCAGACCTGGTATTGACTGTTAAAGTAAAAACATTTATGCAGTAAGGCAAACCTGTTATTGCTACTTGAAAAAGCACTTTGAAATGTAACCCCAACCCTCCAAGAATTCCCGTTTCACCAGTTCCACTCTGCTGGACGTGACAGGCCCACAAACACTGAGGCAGATGAGTTTCAGAAATAACCAATGCAGCTTTTGTTATTTCAGATTTAGAAAGTAGGCACCTCCATCCCAAGCCCCACTCGCACGTTCCCGCCCAGCTCAGCACTACGGCATCATTACCACAGCAGAAAGTGGAACGAGGAACGCTGCTGTGAGGAACCGCACCGCTGCTCGACCTCACCAGGGGCCGGTACCGAGACCAAGCCTCTCTGCAACCCCCAAACAGCGAGACTGGCCGCTCCCGAGGCGCCGTTCTCACCATACCCGAACTGGGGCCCGAGCTCCAACCCTAAGCCTTCTCCTCAGGCCGGCGGGCCGCCATCACTCACCATCGCCTCCCTCTTCCGCCCCAACTTCCGGTGCCCGCCAGCACAGCGCCTCCTGCCGATGACCGCCAACACAGCGCCCCCTACCGGCGCCCTCCGGAACAACCGTGGTGCGGAGCGCGCCCCAGGGAAATGGCGGCCGTGGGAGCCGTGCTGCAAAGCGCCCATGAAAAACATTTGTAATGCCTCTGAACGAAGGCTGTTGCACACAGACCCCATTCTTCCTTCAGCCTCTCTTTCTCCACTGCTCGCGCCCAGATTCCTCCTCGGATCCACAGCAGCAGCCTGTGTCAGTGAGCTGTTTGTGCGCTGATAGGGAGAGCCAGCAGGGAAGGGAAGCGCAGCCCTTTGCTCAGCTGCCCGGGCGCGGCAGCACCTCCCAAAACAGAGGTCAGACACGGCGTGCTCGCACAGCCGCAGCAGGGAAACACGTCCCGGTTACAAGCAGCAAGGAAAGGCTGCCGGGCACCCCTCCCTCTGCACCCTGAGATGCATCTGCGGGTGGCTGCTGTCCAGGAACAGCCACGCCTGCTTCTCCTGCTTCAACCTTTTGTCTTTCTGGGTACGAGAACCGCCGTCTTGGCACAGCATGAAAGGTCTCATCAGCTGGCATGGGGAGCCGCGCCGAGTCCAGCCCAGCACTTCAAAGAACGCCTTGCTTTTTACCCTTCCCTCAGCCAGAACACCGAGATCTTTTCACCGGCTGCTTTTGGTGTTTCAAACCAGTTCAGCCATTGCCGTCTCCTTCAGGTTTAGACTTTCTGCCTGAGCGCAAGGCTCTGTGGTCGCAAAATAGAGACCTGCACTCAGAGGAATGAACTGGAGCGGCTCATTACACAGTGTGTTGAAACGAGACTTTATTGAAGACGCTTCAGAAATCTATGTACAAAACCACGTTCCCACCCCAAGATCAGGATGCTAATCACCCACTGGGAACAAAAGCAAAGCTGTGAACCTGAGGACACTCAGAAGTACCAAATCCACAAAGTTTGTCAGGTCTGGAGGAAACTGGAGGACCAAGACGTGTCTCCAGCACACCCACCATAGCAGGCTCTAAGAGCCCGTGCTGTCAGAGCAGGTCTGAGGGCAGGCTGCTTCTACAACCAAATCAGCAAAGTGAAACCAGCCCCAGATAAAACCTGTACTTTTTAATCAGTGTTAACTGGTTCTGGGAGAGACCCATCACTAAGAGCACAGTGGTATTGTCAGAAGTGTTAGAGCAGAGCAGTAGTGATATCAAGGAAGAGTAAACCTTTCTGAATATACCTGGAGAGGGGGTGGATATCAGACTGGCTATTTCTATGAGAATCTAAGAGTACCCTGAAGACGGAGACAGTAGTTGATGCAAGTTGAATAGTGACCAACATGCTGTTTCTGTACTATACTATGCACATCTACCACGGTAGAGTTTCCCCTTGCCAGTCCAGGAAGGAACCGTTTTCTTTTTCACCAAGACGATCCAGAACTGAAAGAATACCAGGGATGGCCTCTTGCACCTGCAAAGGAGCCTGGAGAGCAAATAGAAGTTGAGTTATTTCTAAGTATAACTGGAAATACAATCAAGGAGTCAATAGGATCAAGTGGGACCTTCTTCATGTTGCACAGTGTGCCTATGCAGAGCATGGAAGTGTACTTGCAGCAGGGTCAAGGGTGGGAACAAGGGAGTTATGCTTTCCTCTTTATGTAGAGGTGTCACTAACCATGTTTCCACCCATGTCTGTCTGAACCCAGCCTGGATGCAGAGAAATGCAGAGAATTCCATCTGATTTCAAATCCGCAGCGAGACATCTGGTGATCATGTTCAGTGCAGTCTAGAAGAGGGGAAACCATCTATTAGTATGCTGCTTTTTACAACCACCCTTTCAGCAAGACCTTAAGCCAAGCTAACTGGCTATTCCTTTCCAAGATGCCTGCTGACAAATCAAGTAGCAATAGCAGCGTGATGGTAACTTATCCAGGCTTTGTGGGGCCCTCATTCTCAGAAATATAGCTAAGGGAAGCACTGTGGAAGCTCCACCTGGTAAACTTATTGCTCAAAGATGAAACTAAGTTACGAAGGAAGATAAATAACATTTGAAACTCCTAAGGGCTCGTGAAAAATAACCTTGACGTAAGGACTCTTTTTCTGCAACAATCACAACACAAACATTCAGGCTTTTTACTTCTGATCAGGGAAAACAAGCCTGTTAACAGCTTACGAGTAGGTGGTGCAGAAGAAACTGCATGTCTGATCCTGACAACTCATTCAGACTCAGACTCTGGATGTGGCAGAACTAACGCTGTGATCATCTTAAGCTCAGAGCGGCCTTTAACTCACAGACCCGTTCTCACCCAATGAGCACAGCCCAGGAACCATCCAAACCTTTGCTATCCTGTAGGGGTAGACCTTGAGGAACATCTCATTCGCCTGGACGAGTTGCATGGAGGCAGCAAGAGAGGACATATTAATAATAGCAGCTCTGTGGCAGCCCATTCCTGTGCTCAGCTGAGCTGCCTTCCTCAGAAGGGGTAGAAAAGCCTGTAAAAACAAAGTTGGTTTTAATTTGGTCACCTCGCTCTTGGTCCATTTAAAGGCATCTCAAATTCTGCTCTGTGAAAACCTGCAGTACAACTCTATTCCATCAGCACTGGATGGTGATGGCTATCAAGACAAGCTGACCGTAGGAAACCTTTCCATAACATCCAAATGTAAGCAGCAGTCTGCTCACCTCCCAGCCCAAGCTGTCCACTGAAATGACCTCGTACCAACTGGTTTTAAATAAAGAGAAAGATACTGGTTGGAAAGCCATTGCTGCTCTCCTAGGGGCACAGTTCCAAGGCGATAAACACTTGGGTTACGTGCCCAGCTCACAAGTGGCAGGGCCTCTGCAATGCCATCAATTAAGCATGCTTCTCCCACTTCTTACCTTAGTGACCATCAGCTGGGCGACTGTGTTGGTTTCGTAGATGGTGAGCATCGTCTCTGCTGTAACATCTTCCAAGGAGGCAAGCACATTGATGCCAGCGTTGTTGATGAGGCAGTTCAGACCTTTGTCTCCCACAATTTCTTCCACTTCCTTGACTACTTTCTTGATGCTGTTTTCACAGACCACATCTACACAGAGGAGCCAAGAACAGCCGCAGTGAGCAGCAACGTGGTTCAAATGCTGTCGCTACACAGCACGTGCTAAACCAAACTTAAAACACGGCTGTGAATAGGGACAGTTAGGCAGCAAACAAGGATGGAGACCATGCACGGAAGATTTGCACAGATTATATTCCCTGTTGGTATCTTAAAATGAAGTTAGGGATCTTTCCAGCTGCTGGAGGTCGTGCACGGCTACTGACCATGCAGGAGACTTCAGATGCACTCACCTGACTCGGTTGAACATGCTCCTATTTAAGCCCTTTACTCACCCAGCTGGAGGAGCTTGATATTGCTGTATTGCTTGCTAAGCTGCTGGAGCTCCTAGGAAGAAGAAATTATTTCTATTACCTTCTTTGTGCGTATGTTACATGAAGCAGTTTGAGACCTGCACCTCCAGAATTGGTGTTTGCTTTTGTAACTGGACTGAGAGCAGTGGCACTACTTTGCCTTCCATCCTTGAGAGCAAGACTGATTGCTCCAAGAAACTGGGCTCTTCACCTGCTTAGCCAAGAAACCAGCATGGTAAATTCTCAGCATATTAATACAGAGGGTGCATTTGCAGTCTAACCAAAGGTCTTTGCTCAGGTGGCTCTGGGTGATGGCTCCATTGTGCTCAGGCTGCATGCCAAGCTGGTAATTCCTCACTGCTGTTAAGCACTTCTCCTGATGCTTAGCTGGTACCAGACATCAGGTCAGAGCAACAGAAACTCTCAGAAAAGCCATTTGGCACTGCAGCTTGCAGAAAAAGCATCCTAACAGTTTTCCCATTGAAATCCTATTACCAAATACTTTTGTTAGCTTCAGTTCTTGCAACTGAAAGTAGAGCACACAAGAAATCGGTTACGTACACAACAACTGTCCAGGAGAATGGTGTTCTCTCTGCGATATAATTCAGCCATCTGCCTGCTAATGCTCAGCAGTAAAGTAAGAGAGGAATAAGAAGTGTTCCTGTAGGAAATCAGTGCTGGGCTGATATTGCTCCTGGATAAGGTGCTTGCATGCTGGATTTTACAGCCCCAGCTGCAGCACTTGGGTTTCTGTGCCATGCAGAAAGCGGGGACAAATGTTAATGGATGGAGTGCAGGCTGCCAGCCACTCTTAGGGGCTGAGCAGCCACAGGCAAACATCCCAGCTCAAGCAAATCCACCTCTTCAGGAGCCCATCTGGAGCAGGGGTGGAAGGGGCTGCTTTTGAAAGAGTATTCCTCTGCCACTTGGAGATGGTTGGGGACTCCATGTCCCCTCATCAGGTTGTAACACACCACATTTTTTATCTCAGTTGATGTTCTGCAAGATTCTCTCCAAGTTTGTTTAGTAAACTTGCTCTCCCCCTGCAGCCAACCTACAGCTGCTGTGGGGCTTGGAAGGGGAAGAAGCCAGAAGCACAAAACCAGCAGACATTCCTTTCCCTGGACAGGAATAGTTCTGCCATGTCAAGGTCTGCAATAATTATGTGGCTTTGGACTGTCTGCTGTACTTCAGTTTGACAGCACCAATTATGATCAGCTCCAGAAGCGCTCTGGCTTCCACGCTGTTTTCATTTATTTATGGACAGATTGCTTCCCTGTCAGACCGAAACAAACTACAACTGTGAGGCAGCAGATAAACCTCTGCTAAAAGGCCAGAGATGTTCTGTGCAGTGAGAACCAGTGAGAGGGCTCCAAAGTGAGCCAGCAAGATCTTCAGTTCAGAACTCCAAAGGCTGTGGCATTTCTCCTTCCCTGGAGCATAAACACTGCAATGGCTGCATGCAGACCAGAGTTAAAATTCAATAGTTTTTCCATTTAGTTAATTACTGTGTTTAATAATGACTCCCACTCGAGTGGCTTAAGGTTCACAAAAGAAGCTTCTGGGCGTAACTTTATCTTGGACAGCTTTGGGCTGCAAGAAGTACAGAGCTCTGCTGCACTCAATGAGAACAGGAGTGGAAAGCCTAGATGGGAAACCCAAAAAGCACAGCAAAACACATTCTTCTCCCTTCTGTGCCTAAAGAGGAGGGCCAGGACAAGCCCATGGCAGCCCCAACAGATGAAGCCACTTATATTTAGTTATGGTGCTGCAAAAGCTGATTTAAAACAAACAAGCTAACGAAGCAAACAAGCAAAGCACTCAACACCAGCCCCACATGTTTAGTGCAGCAGCTCTAGGAGTGTTTGGTACCCAAACAGCTACCCATGAGAATCAGCTCTCAGGGATTCCAAGAGAAAAAAACTTAAGGCTGTGATTAACATCTGTTGTTTC